CAAATCAGCTGCTCTACTGATACTACCTGTTCAATGTACCTTGGTTTATGCGTTACGGTTTACGCAAATTTTGCCCATACAGGAAGCAATGATGCCTACACATTAAAAAATGTTTAAATTAATAATTTTTTTTGATTGTTAGAAGTATTCATTGACCATCATAAATGAAATTTAGAAACTTCTCACAAGCCTCCACAGAGCCCAATCAGTTTTCTCACCAAAATTTTCCCATTGCTATTTATATGTAAATCTCAGCTGTAAATACTTAAAAGCTCCGGTGATTTTCCGCCCATTTTCTGACAAAATTTACAACTCAATTAGCAGCTAATCGAACTTAGCAATCTATAGAACATAAACAAAACCGTCTTCTATTCGAGTTGGATATTTAAACGCATTTGACACTTATTCCGATTCGTTACGCTAACGTTCGATTTCTATTTCTATCTGTAGCAATTTATGTTTGCGACATCACATAAATATGTACATATGTACATACATATATATTACGTATGTACATATGTACGCTAAAAAAAAATAGTATAAAATAGGACAAATCTACCCAGTTGACTGTTAGTCAGAACCAAGTCGCGAAACTATTTACTTTCTAAAGTGTGAAACATTGAATTAACTTTCCTCCTCTCATTTTCATCAGCAATGAAGTGGTTATCGTTGTTCTTCGTTTTTGGTCTGCTCGCCTTGATCGGTAGCATGGGTTCGTTAGCCGCTGCCGAGCCACATCCTGAGCCTCGTGGACGTCCGGCCACTACCACACGACGTCCACCCACTACAGATACCAATGAAGCCGGTGAACGACGCTAGCTGCCGGAGGATGTGGATGATGATGAGAGTGCAGCTCGATCGGAGTATTTCGATCGAAAGGAGCCCTATAAACCTAAACCGATGAAGTGTGCNGAAGTTGCAATATGTTGAAATTGTTTTTGTTTAAATTAAAAAAAAAAAATTAAATATGTTTTGTGATTTTTTCATAACTGCTAATCAAAAATCGAAAGCGTTTTTTATTAATTAATGTGTTTGTTAAATACATGTGTATGTATGTGTGAATATTTATTTGCACTAAATAACAAAAGTTAATAAGCAGCATGGAGAGAAGTTGAAAAAACTTAACCAATTTTAAGTTTTCATATAGTTTTCGAGATAAGAATCTTTGTATTTTTTAAAAAAGTAATAAGTTCTGTAAGCACATTATAAATATGGGAAAAATTCTGGGAATAAATCTGAAATGTACACCAATTTTTATTCTTTTTTCCATTTTAACAACATTTTTTGCCGAAATTTCAAAAGAAAATATGCAGTCTATTTTAGTCATTACTTCGAAAATAATTCTGAGTAAAACTAGGTACCATTTATCAAAATCAATAAAAAATTATAAACTATTGAAACCTCAAAATTAATCCAATCCAAATTATTAAAATTTTCTGCGAAATATAACGGAAGTGATTTTGGAAAAATCTTTAGAAAATTCACAACTTTCGAAATTGTCTCTTGATAATTTTGTTAAAGTGGAATAAATAATAAAAATTGGTGTAAATTTTAGATTTAATCCAAAAATTGTCCACTTATTTACAATGTGATCACAAAATTTATTATATCTTTAAATAGTATAAATATTCGTCTTTCCAAAGACATGTAAAAACTTAATATTGGTAAAAAAAAGACTGCCTAA